GCAAAGGATAGAGAGGAGGAGGCAAAGGAGAGAGAGAGAGGAGGCAAAGGAGAGAGAGGAGGCAAAGGAGAGAGAGAGAGGAGGCAAAGGAGAGAGAGAGAGAGGAGGCAAAGGAGAGAGAGAGAGAGAGGAGGCAAAGGAGAGAGAAAGAGAGGAGGCAAAGGAGAAAGAGAGGCAAAGGAGAGAGAAAGAGGAGGCAAAGGAGAGAGAAAGAGGAGGCAAAGGAGAGAGAGAGAGAGGAGGCAAAGGAGAGAGAGAGAGGGAGGTAAAGGAAGAGACAGGGGGAGAGGAGGAAGAGAGGGTGGAAGGAAGAGAAAAAGAGTGGGAGGAGGAACAACAGTGGGAGGAGGAGGAGGAACAGAGTGGAAGGAGGAGGAGAAACAGAGTGGAAGGAGGAGGAGGAACAGAGAGTGGAAGGAGGAGGAAGAGTGGAAGGAGGAACAGAGTGGAAGGAGGAGGAGGAACAGAGAGTGGAAGGAGGAGGAGGAACAGAGAGTGGAAGGAGGAGGAGGATCAGAGGGTGGAAGGAGGAGGATGATCAGAGGGTGGAAGGAGGAGGAGGAACAGAGGGTGGACAAGAGGAGGAGGAACAGAGGGGTGGGAGGAGGAGGAGGAACAGAGGGTGGAAGGAGGAGGAGGAACAGAGATGGAAGGAGGAGGAGGAACAGAGGGTGGAAGGAGGAGGAGGAGGAACAGAGGGTGGAAGGAGGAGGAGGAGGAACAGAGGGTGGAAGGAGGAGGAGGAGGAACAGAGGGTGGAAGGAGGAGGAGGAGGAACAGAGGGTGGAAGGAGGAGGAGGAGGAACAGAGGGTGGAAGGAGGAGGAGGAGGAACAGAGGGTGGAAGGAGGAGGAGGAGGAACAGAGGGTGGAAGGAGGAGGAGGAGTGAGGAGGAGGAAGAGGGTGGAAGGAGGAGGAGGAGGAACAGAGGGGTGGAAGAGGAGGAGGAGGAACAGAGGGGTGGGAGAGGAGGAGGAGGAACAGAGGGGTGGAAGGAGGAGGAAGAGGAACAGAGGGGTGGAAGGAGGAGAAGAGGAACAGAGGGGTGGAAGGAGGAGGAAGAGGAACAGAGGGTGGAGGAGGAGGAAGAGGAACAGAGGGGTGGAAGGAGGAGGAAGAGGAACAGAGGGGTGGAAGGAGGAGGAAGAGGAACAGAGGGGTGGAAGGAGGAGGAAGAGGAACAGAGGGGTGGAAGGAGGAGGAAGAGGAACAGAGGGGTGGAAGGAGGAGGAGGAGGAGGAACAGAGGGGGGGGAGGGAGGAGGAGGAACAGAGGGTGGAGAAGGAGGAACAGAGGGGTGGAAGAGGAGGAACAGAGGGGTGGAAGGAGGAGGAACAGAGGGGTGGGAAGGAGGAGGAGGAACAGAGGGGTGGAAGGAGGAGGAGGAACAGAGGGTGGAAGGGGGAGGAGAAGGAGGAACAGACGGGTGGAAGGAGGAGGAAGAACAGAGGATGGAAGGAGGAGGAACAGAGGGATGGAAGGAGGAGGAAACAGAGGGATGGAAGGAGGAGGAACAGAGGGATGGAAGGAGGAGAGAGGAACAGAGGGGTGGAAGGAGGAGGAGGAACAGAGGGGTGGAAGGAGGAGGAGGAAACAGAGGGTGGAAAGAGGAGGAGGAACAGAGGGGTGGGAAAGAGGAGGAACAGAGGGGTGGAAAGAGGAGTAGGAACAGAGGGGTGGAAGAGGAGTAGAAACAGAGGGTGGAAAGAGGAGTAGTGAAACAGAGGGGTGGAAAGAGGAGTGAGAAACAGGAGGGGTGGAAAGAGGAGTAAGAACAGAGGGGTGGAAAGAGGAGTAGGAAACAGAGGGGTGGAAAGAGGAGGAGGAACAGAGGGGTGGAAAGAGGATCAGAGAGTGGAAGGAGGAAGAGGGGGAACAGAGGGGAAATGAGGAACAGGGGGTAAGGAGGAAAAGAGGGGAGGAAGGAGGAACAGGGTGGGAGGAAGAGGAACAGGGGAGGAGGAACAGTGAATGGGGACAGAGGAAGATGGGGACAGAAGGGAGACAGGAATATGGGGGAACAGTGGGAAAAGGGGGACAGAAGGACAGCAAGGGGGAAATGGACATGGGAAGAAAGGGGGACATGGAGAGAAGGGGGGGGGCAGGAATCCAAGGTTCGAAGGACGACTTGATTAATCTGATTAGGGTCAGAATTTGGGAACAGGAAGTGATCACACCGAGGAGTGGTACAGAGTACTTTGACCTCTCTCATGGGATAGTCCACCCTGTTCTCGTAAAGTTTAAAGAATGAAAATAACCGGTTCCGACAAATTTAGTAATAATTCTGAACTATGAGAAATCTAGTGTAAAGTAATAGTTAAACAATGATTCCAATAAAAGAAAGGTTCAGCAATGAAAAAATAATGAAGTAGTATTAGCTGGGTATATTAATCAAGGTTAACGTGTAGCAGAAGCAGCAGTAAACAAGTAAAAAAAAAAAAAAGAGGAGGGTACATCAGTAGGTAAAGATTTTAAAGATTAGGGAGACTGGGACAGAGGAACTGAACTGTTGGGTTTTAAGCTGAACAGGAAATGGTACGGGGGGAAAATTGGCATTTAGCGACTTCCTCACACCTGCAGAAACACTGGCAGGGCGTTGGCCAACAGTGAAAAGAAAAACTAGATACAATGACAGCTTCAGAGAACCTGGTAAACGATGTAAATGATAAAATGTATAACAATATATTTTAATTTTCATACTGTTGTTTTTGAATGTTTAACTGTAAATATGCAACCGGCTAGGAGGGACACTCTAGGAAGCTTAAGACACTGCCTACGTACAACAATGGTTTTGAGTAAACGTTCACCGACTTAAGAATTTTCTTTAAAGCTGGCAGACTTGGGTAATTCCTACTCATAAATCTTAGACAATACTAGCACTAAAAAAAATCAACTTTAAAAATAGGATTTTTAAATTCGATTTTCGTAAAAAAATTTGTAAATAACAAGTTACGATTAGTTATCAGTGTCTAAATTCATCCTCTAAACACCATTTGCAAAAAAATTTCAAATAATTACCAGTGTATGCGTTGTATGTTAAATACTGAGTGAAGAGAAGATAAAAGAAAGAATAACACTTGATACTTGTTCTCATGATCTATGCATATAAACTAATACAAACTAAAATCTGAGAAACTAGAAATTCAAAATTTGAATTTTTAATTCCGATTCCCCCCCCCCAACACTAGGATATTTTTTCACTCATTACAAGTAAGATAAACTTTTGTCTGGAAATATCTTTGTAGTAATATCAAACTATTCGTTTACGTAATAAGATTCTGGGTAATATAGGTGACAAGTCATCAAATACAACTCTTCGAAGGTAAGATTCCACTCGAGCCTAAACCTGGTATTCAAACTGCCATTGCATGCTCTTCCTCTTGCATAAATAGCGAAAAAAAATTGCGAGTCAGACTAAACAGGATCTCTTGTGAATAAGACCCCTCAAGGAAGGTTCCTTGATGTTGGTGAGGGGCTCTTGATTTAGGGAATTGGATCTGTGCTCCAGTTCCCCGAATTAAGCCTGAATGCCTTCCACATCCCCCCCCCAGGCGCTGTATAATCCTCCGGGTTTAGCGCTTCCCCCTTGATTATAATAATAATAATTGTGAATAAGAATCTAAAGTTCGACAAAGAAATGTTCATCACTATCTGTAGATACAGTAACTGCAGCCCTACAACATTAATGCATTTTTTGTAAACAAAAAAAAAAAAAACAAGTTTACAGTGTTCATCTTGCTTATTTCTATTAATTCTTACTTGCAGCGAATTACACTTTCTCGTCTTTCAAACTAAGCAGACAATATTTATCTTCTGTGGTTTTGCCGATATAAGTTTCTTTGCTTAATTTTCTATATACTGAAATATAAGTATTTACACACGATTTGACCCCATAGCCCTTGTTCACTACCTTTAGGCAACATCGATTTTTTTTTGTCTTACATAAGATACATTCTGCATACGTTGCAGCCATCTTGTTGTTTCACACCTCTCTGTTTAACTGTTTTTTTTATCATGAATGCTTAATACTTGATATAATTTACATTTTGAGAACGGTGCGGAAGAACTGCCACTATCACACTACAAGGAATAACGTAAGCAGCAATGGACACTACCTTGCAGGTTTCCCCCGAGCAAAGCGCCACCAAGGCAATTAACAGCCACAACGTACTTCCAACATGTGATCTATATAATAAACACTAGCACTGAAAACATGCCTAGTCACCCTTCACACTCCTAAGATATTTTTTTGCTGGATAATTTTAATTTCGAGAAGCCTGGTGTACCAACCCCAGAATGCCGCCACACCGGAGCCATGAGACAGCTTATTGAACGCCAATTCTTAGCCTGAAACTCGCCCGACTTCAACATTCTTAAGCAAACTAATCTCAGACAAAAAATATTTGTCAATTCTTTGCTTCAACTACTAAAGGGGAAATCAACTACACCTTTGTGCTAACAATATTTCCTAGTTACTAAAACCTACTGCCGGGAGAGTGATGGGAGGTGGGGGGGGGGAACACTTCACACAAATACTTTAAAACAAAAAATACCTGTACTCTTCAACTCCGTATACTTAATTCCTTGAAGGCGAACATATTCCGATCATAAGAAGGCTGCCACGTTGAAAATAAGATAAAACGACAATATATCCAAGAGGAAGAACATACCGGGGTGGGCGCCCCTTGCTTACGTTGAGGTCTTGCAAATGGCGCAGCCGCCCCATGCTTATTACCCTTAAAATCAACTAATATACTGTCTAAACGTATTCTCAGCCAATTTTCCAAAGAAGTCACTGCCTTTAGCTCTTTTTCTTTTCCACGAGTACACGCAGTAAGTACAAGTGATGAATACACATCAAATATATCAAGTTCTCCAGATCTTCGCTGTTATCGGAACAAAACATGCACAAGATCCTTCGTTAAACACAAATCACGCAGAACTGATACTCCTTGGACAAAATCCCAAAATTTTGAGTACAGGGGTGTTGAAAGACTGACCTCCTCTTCAGCTGCTGCTGTGTTCACGGAGTCCATGCTCTGGGAGAGTGCGTTGCTGTTCTCCATGGTCACGCTGGTCATCGTGCTGTGCGCTGTGCTGATGTTTGGTGCTCGCTGTGTGGTACAGGGAGGAGGAGAGGATGAAAAGAAGAAATAAAGTCACAGAAACGTAAGGACGTGACTTCCTCGCTTCACCCACACACACGGACTGCCAGAGCCAGCGGCCGGGAGTTCAGGTGTGTGCGGACCGTGATGTCACCACGCCCCGCCCACCACGCCAAGGGGGAACCAGAGTCATACGGATTACCTGCCCGAACACTTTCCTATTGTTTTCTTACTTGCGCACTTCCTAGCATTTCTTTGTTAAACCCCCTCCGTACACTTTCCTTTGCAACTTAATAGGGAGGGCTACTTAATGGGGGATAATAACTAATTTTAGTGGAGTAATGAACGTATGATTGTGTAGTAGGCGGGTTCAGGATGTAGAGAAATGCCCCGCCCCGCCAGGTAGAGGTTGGGGGCGTCAGAAGCGGTAGGGGTCAGCGGCCCCCATCATGGTCCTACCTGTCCCCCGCCTAGTCTCCACCCGCTCCACCTGGCCCCACCAAACTCCACCTGGCCACCACCTAGCCCCACCAAACCCCACCTGGCCCCACCAAACCCCACCTGGCCTGAGCTATGAGCCCTGGTGGCCCACCCTTCGATCCACGCCCCATCCTACGTGGCATACCAGCTCTGGCCCAATGGGTTTATGAGGTGGGTATATGTGGCGCGCCCCGGCACTCTGCTCCATTATTCAGAGCGGTTTGTTGAGCTTGTGAGTGGCTCCATGTTACAGGTCAGATATCCAGCCAGACCGCAGTCTTCAAACATTAGATATCTCTGCGTAGAGTATCACAACTACGCCAGAGTGAGCCAGGGAGCACAACCACGCTACTGATATAGAACCTAACCATAGTTGTGATGCAGTCCAAAGCGAACATTACGGAAAGTCGCTAGGTTTCTGGTATTCACCACTCCTGTAACCCTTATCGCATACACCGCCACCACAGCGCTGTATTTTCTATACGGGTTCAGTGCATATTTTTAACGTCAGTAATAATAATAATAATAATAATATAATAATAATAATAATAATAATAATAATAATAATAATAATAATAATAACAAATATCCTGGCTACTTCAGCAACACCGTCAACCATTGCATGATAACATTTCGTATTCCATTCCACCCTTTAAGGGTGTACTTGTCCAGTTGTGCTTGCGGGGATCGTGACTCAACTCCTGGCCCCTCTTATTAGATTAATCGACATCATTGATTTCTGATTTCTTGGGCCTTATCTTATCTACTCTTGAAGCTGTGTATTGAGTTTCCATCCATAACTTGTTCATCCAAATCATTCCACTCTTCAACCGCCTTCAATGGCTTCTCATTGTGCATTCTCTCAAAACAGGTACTAGTCTGGTTGCAAACCTTTAGAATTTTTAGAGCTTCTGCACATGCTTGACGAGGTATGGGCTCCATTCTCCGGACGGAAGCTAAATAATTAACATATGTTCAGTGTAAAGCTCTAAAGGATTCTTTATTGCAGGTCCTGAATGCTATTCAGAGGTTTGCTAATCTTGTATATACCCCTGACATTACACAGTTTATATGTAATTCTGGCGATATTCTTGGTGTTACATTCACCACAGATGAATATAACACCAAGTTGTACTCTTTCTGTTCTGCCCTCACCTCCAAATCGCATGAGCTTGCGTTTGTCCGGGTTGAACTCGAGAAGCCATTTGTTTGACCACATCTGCAGTCTGTTGAGGTGTCCCTGTAGTTTATCTCTCTACTCTCTTGCTCCTTGTCTTCTCATTATATTTACAAAATCAGCAAACAGTGATACATAAAACTCAGTCTCTTCTGGAAGGTCATTGACATATACCAGAAACAGTAATGATCCTACTATTGATCCTTGTGGAATCCCACTCGTTACTCTGTCCCATTATGATGTCTCTTACTGTTACTCTTTCAGGTACTCCCTGACCCACTGGAGAACTCTGCCTTTCGTTCCTGCTTGCTCTTCTAGTTTTGGATGCAGTGGTCTCGTGATCCATGAACGGTGGCGCTGCCCTCCCTTTCTTGGGATGGAAACTGATTATCTCCCCTTTTCCCGGGTACCGTATGACCCCTAAGGGTTTACCCCTTCTCCATGAGTAAGGTGACACCCTTCCAACTAAACACAGAAATAAATACCACACCTCTGAGATCTCGAGCTTTGTGTTAAGGGAAGAGACTTGATTAGGATCCCAGGAGAGACTTACCTAAGTTCACGCGAGAGACTTAGCTAGGTTTACATGAGAGACTTAGCTAGGTTCCCATGACAGGCCTACCTGGAGACTACCTGGAGACTACCTGGAGACTACCTGGAGGGTACCGTGAAAGTCAACGTGCCCGCGTTCTGATCCATGACCAAGTCTCCCGGTGGATCAGGACCTGATCATCCAGGCTGTCTGCTGGCCGCACAGTCTATCATACGACCCAGAGCCCGGCTGGTCAAGGACTGACCTATCCGCTTCCCTCTTGAAGACAGCTAGGGGTCTATTGGTAATCACCTTTATGTATGATGGGAGGCTGCTGAATAGTCTTGGACTCCTTACATTTATTGTGTTGTCTCAGTGTATTCATGGCACTTCTTTTCAATGGGGGGAGGTAGGTTACATTGCATATTGCACCGTCTGCTGAGCCTTTTGCTTCGTAGAGAATAATTTCTGTGTGCAGATTTGGGGTTAGTCCCTCTAGGATTTTCCAAATGTAAATTATGATGTATCTTTCTCACTTACAATCCAAGAAGCACAGGTCAAAGGACTTGAAGTGTTCCCAGTAATTAAGGTGCTTGACCGAACGCATAAGAGCAGAGAAAGTTCTGTACACTATCAGCTAAGGGGCTGATAGTGTAAAACAGTATTCCAGCCTAAAATCGACAGCTAGGCTCCCAAGAGAGAACCACTCAAGTTCCTAAGAGAGATCTAACTAGGTTCCCAGGAGAGGCTGAGCTAGATTCCCAGGACACAATTAGCTAGGTTCCCAGGACACAGTTAGTTAGGGTCCCAGAAGAGACAGCTAGATTCCCAGGAGAGAAACAACTAGGTTCCAAGGAGAGAGACAGCTAGGTTCCCAGGTGAGACATAACTAGGTTCCCAGGAGAGACATAGCTAGGTTCCCAGGAGAGACATAGCTAGGATCCCAGGAGAGAGGCATAGCTAGGTTCCCAGGAGAGACATAGCTAGGTTCCCAGGAGAGACATAGCTAGGTTCCCAGGAGAGACATAGCTAGGTTCCCAGGAGAGACATAGCTAGGTTCCCAGGAGAGACATAGCTAGGTTCCCAGGAGAGACATAGCTAGGTTCCCAGGAGAGAGGCATAGCTAGGTTCCCAGGAGAGACACAGCTAGGTTCCCAGGAGAGACATAGCTAGGTTCCCAGGAGAGACATTGCTAGGTTCCCAGGAGAGACATAGCTAGGTTCCAGGGAGAGACATAGCTAGGTTCCCAGAAGAGACATAGCTAGGTTCCCAGAAGAGACATAGCTAGGTTCCCAGGAGAGACATAGCTAGGTTCCCAGAAAAGACATAGCTAGGTTCCCAGGAGAGACATAGCTAGGTTCCCAGGAGAGACATAGCTAGGTTCCCAGGAGAGACATAGCTAGGTTCCTTGGAGAAACAACTTCTGTCAAATCATGAAATATTCAAAACTGACATTCAAAGGTTGTGGTGATCCAGACTTCTGGTACACCAGTCACCAGTAACTGGTTAACACCGGCACAGTCACCATTAACTGGTTAACACCGTCACAGTCACCAGTAACTGGTTAACACCGGCACAGTCACCAGTAACTGGTTAACACCGTCACAGTCACCAGTAACTGGTTAACACCGGCACAGTCACCATTAACTGGGTAACACCGTCACAGTCACTATTAACTGGTTAACACCGGCACAGTCACCAGTAACTGGTTAACACCGGCACAGTCACCAGTAACTGGTTAACACCGGCACAGTCACCTTAAGGTTAACCACGTACACAGTCACCAGTAACTGGTTAATCACCGGCACAGTCACCAGTAACTGGTTAACACCGTGACAGTCACCTAGTAAGGTTAACACCGGCACAGTCACCATTAACTGGTTAACACCGTCACAGTCACATTAACTGGTTAACACCGGCACAGTCACAGTACTGGTTCAGGCACAGTCCACCTAACTGGTTAACCAGGCACAGTCACATAATGGTTAGCACGGCACTCCCAGAAACTGGTTAACACGGCACAGTCACCAGTATGATGACATCAGGCAATTGGTTTAAAGGCACATAGTCACCCAGTAACTGTGTGACACCGAAAAGTACATAACTGGTTAACTGGCAGTCACCATACTGGTTACCAGGAACGTAACATTAACTGGTTAACAAGTCACATTAACTGGTTAAAACCGGACAGTCACCAGTAACTGGTTACACCGGCAGAGTCATAGTACTGGTACACTGGACAGTCACTAGTAACTGGTTAACAACCGGCCAGCCACATAATGTTAACACTGGCACAGTCACCAGTAATGGTTAAGACGACACAGTCACCAGTAACTGGTTAACACCGGCACAGTCGCAGTAACTGGCTAACACCGTCACAGTCACCAGTAAACTCGTTAACACCGGCACAGTCACCATTAACTGGTTAACACCGGCACAGTCACCAGTAACTGGTTAACATCGGCACAGTCACCAGTAACTGGTTAACACGGCACAGTCACCAGTAACTGGATTAACACGGGCACAGTCATCAGTAACTGGTTAACACCGGCACAGTCACCAGTAACTGATTAACACCGGCACAGTCATCAGTAACTGGTTAACACCGGCACAGTCACCAGTAACTGGTTAACACCGGCACAGTCACCAGTAACTGGTTAACACCGTCACAGTCACCAGTAACTGGTTAACACCGGCACAGTCACCATTAACTGGTTAACACCGTCACAGTCACCATTAACTGGTTAACACCGGCACAGTCACCAGTAACTGGTTAACACCGGCACAGTCACCAGTAACTGGTTAACATCGGCACAGTCACCAGTAACTGGTTAGCACCGGCACAGTCACCAGTAACTGGTTAATCACCGGCACAGTCACCAGTAACTGATTACACTGACACAGTCACCGGGCAATTGGTTAACATCGGCACAGTCACCAGTAACTGGTGAACACACGGCACAGTCACCAGTAACT